TGATGGACAATTGATAAAATGGACTTTGGTATTCCATATTGTAAAAATCTATACCCTACTGTTGATAGCATAATCAGCGAAGAAAGAATGAAAGTTGTAAAGAATTCAGCAGGATTTGATGGGCATTTATACAGTAATATTTATATAGTTTGTATAAGTAAATCTATTTTATTTATACATTTTATTTTATTATTATAATAAAATAAAATATTATTGGCTTCAATTATTATCAAACAAGAACTCCCAAACAAAAAATAGTTAAATAAGGGTGTCATTTAAAAGATGTTATAAAAGTTGAGATTTATTAGGCTGTGATAAAATGGGTCGGCTTAACGGCATCCTGATTGAGTGTGTTCTACTTACTTAAGATAGTCTTGTCCATTAAAAATGCCCAAGAAAATTAAGAGCAGGTAAAAGTGTTATTTTCAATAAAAGGAATACATATTTTTTAATTTCATGAATGGCATTTTACAAGTATTTTATGCAAGTACATTACACAAATTAAAAAAAATTTAAGCTATTTAAGAAAAGTTTTTTTTTTTTTTATTTCTTTATGACATTTACAACTGTATTACATAAATACATCAAGTAAATTTGGACATAATTGATATAATGACATGAATACACTTGCTGAGTAACTACCCAATGGTAGTACTCTAATGATATGACTACATTAGGAGATCACGGGGCCATCTTCTTTTCAGACGCCTCGGAGGGTTATCAGGAATTGAAGAGGAAGCAAGGTTTGAAACGAGAGGGTTGGGATGATTCTGAAGTTTATTATGGAAGGACAGGTATCTGGATTGAGCTAAATCGGAAACATATGGTACATTAAGGTCATTATGGATGATTTTATTTGTTACAAAGTAGGGAGCATTAAGGATTTTACGAAGGATTTTGGATTGTAGGGATTGGATACGAGAGGAATTTGATGGTTTAGTAGAGCCCCAAAGCTTGATCCCGTAAGTCCAAATAGGCCTTATTATAGTAATATATATGAGTCTTTTGTAAATAGTTGACAGTTTAGAGCGTTTGTCTAGTAAGTGCTGGAGTAGTCGGAAACGTTGGGCGGTTTCTAGTCGTTTCAGTCTGGTATGGGGGTAAGAAAAGTTAAATATTATAAGATAAACATATTATTATATTTAATCAGTGGTACCAGCAAATAATGCAACTTCCAAAACACCCACAAAAAAAAAAAAAAAAAAAAAAAAAAAATTATTACCATAAGAAACTGATAATTAATGAAAACAATAGATTTATTCTCAAGGTTGAGATATAACAAGAAATACATCAAGTTTGTAATAATATAAAGAGTTTTGGTTTTTAAAAGAAAAATTGCATTGCACCAAACTACGTTATAACTGACCAAGTTCTTAATTGCAGTTTCTAATCAAATCTAGCTATGCAATGATAAATTAGATCATGTTTAAAATTAACCAAACCCAAATTGTTATAAATAATGTAGATATACAAATGTATTTTTATAGTTTATCAATATTAACATTCCATATTAAAATATTTGAAGAGGAAGAGTTGGGAGAAATTCGGTAGAAGTCTACAGAATGATTATAAGGAAAATACCAAGGTTTCCTGGGAATGAATGAAATCAATGAAAGGAAAGGCGGGCAAACCCATTAGAAATGTTAAGGATGAATTAGGGCAAATAATTACTGAAGATGAGGAAATATTGGAGAGATGGTGATGCCATTATTCTGCATTGTTCTGTGGAGGTTAGGAAGAGAGAGTGGCGGACAGGCAAGAAACACTAACAGAAGTATATGATGACGTGATCTGGGAGGAGGTCATGTGGGCTATAGAGAATGTGAAGATTGGCAAAGCAGCATGCAAAGATGGTATTGCTCCAAAACTTAAAATTTGGAGGTTCGCAAGTACAGAAAGCATAACAGAGCCTGTTTCAGAATATATAATTTTCTAAATCTATGCTTGAGGAATGGGGTTGCAACATTAATATACCGATCCACAAGAAAGGAAGCTCAAGTGAATGCCAAAACTATAGGCCTATATGTCTATCCCTGGTAGTCCACAAACTTGACTCCTCCATACTGGAAAGAAAACTCAGACTAAATGTTGAAGACAAATTAGAAGAGCAGCTTTTAGATCTCACCACCAAACACAGGACCACATCTTCACACACAGGATGATTATTGAGAAGTCATGGGATAGAGGAAAGAGTCTATACTTGGCATTCCTGGACATAAAGGCAGCGCTCGATTCTGTCCCCAGAGAGGAAAATGTTCCAACAGAATTAATTAGAGCCATAAAATCTACCTAACATGACTCCAAAGGGGTAGTTAGAATTAAAGGTAGAATGTCCATGAGAAGGGTTGTTAGACAGGGTGACAGCCTTAGTCCTCTCCTGTTCATAATATTTATGGATAAAATATTGAAAATATGCAAGTGAAGGACAACACGGACAGTCGTGGGAAGGTGAAACATGAGGACAATCCTTGCTCAAGTGATGGTTTTCGCAGATGATAGTGTCTGTCCTCATTGCCGATTCCAAAGAAAATCTGCAGCAGGCAGTTACTGAATGGGAGGCTGAGCTAGAAAGAAAGGGCATGATATTAAATGTTGGAAAGAGCAAGGTGATGCACATTGGTTGTGAAGAGGAGAAAGTATTGGTTCGCTGCAGAGGAGAAACCTTGGAGACAGTGCAGGAGTACACTTATCTCGGAGTAGTGCTCAGCAGAAACGGGAAAATGTACCAAGATCTCTCAAACAGGATTAAGAAAGCTAACAGTATATACTACCAGCTATGCAGCACAGTGGTGGGAAAAGGAAAATTAGAAAAAAGTGTAAAATTACACATCTTTAAGTCGATATACTTACCTACCCTAATTTATGGAAGTGAAAGCTGGGTCCTGCTGAACAGGCTCTGGAGTAGAGCTACTGCTGCAGAAATGAAGTACCTCTGGAGAATAGCAGGCAAAACAAAGAGGGACAGAGTTAGGAATGGAAGGATACGAGGAGATCTGGGCAGTTGGGATAGTTTGGTCATCTATGCACAACGGATGAGGACCGTGATCGAAAGAAGTTTTTTGAGACCAGGCCTACCGGACGCTGTCCTCGAGGACCACATCTCCAGGATTGGTGAAAAGAAAGGGAAGCCTATAAATTCAATGAAAGCATTGGCTTGGAATTGGGAGGCTTGGCAGTTCTGGATCAGGACACCTCCACGCTGAGAGGCACTAAGGAGGATGATAAAGAAGAAGAATTAAAATACTTAACAAGGACAGCAAAGTTTTTCACAAGTAATTGAGGTATTTGAGGTTAGATTTAATAAGGAACTTATGTTTGATTATATCACAATAAACATGCAAACACATATTAGTTTTTTATTTGAGGTTTATATAATTTTATGTTCTCCAGATTAATCTTCAGATTGATATGAAAGACATAAAATCTTTTCATTACCTAGTTCTGCTATAAATATCGTTACAAAAGTTGATGTTTGTTTATATCCTTGGGTATTATTTAGATAATCCTTATCTCTATCAGGTATTTTCTTTACATGTCAGGATAATAATCCCAATTAGTTTCTATTTTTCTTTCACTAGTTAACATGGAGTGGGGTAATAAAAAAACCAAAAAAAAAAAAAACAAATAGCTGTGATCACCTTACATTATGTTGGAAAATGTAGGTCAGAGATTTTCAACACTTTGAAACCTTTGGGTATCATCCGTATGTTCATGTACCACACTATAAATAGATATAATGAGATCCCATCTGTATGTGACAGACCTCGACCGGGCTGTCCTCACACTGTGAAACGGCAAATGCAGTGAGAGCAGTGGCTGCTCGAATTAGAAGAAATCCCATTCGAAAACTACTAATCATGTCTCGGAAAATGGGAATCTGTGTCAGATCAATGTCTCGTTTAATAAAATGTGACCTTAGGATGGGTGCATTTCAAACAAGGACAGGACAAAGGCTAACCACTTCCCTAAAAAAAAATTAGAGTGGATAGATGCAAAGTACTCCTTGACCATCACACAAATGGTATTCATCGAAAGATTTTGTTTAGAGATGAGAAAATGTTTACAATTAAGAAAAATTTAATCGCAAAAATGATTGTGTGTAAGCACACAGCTCTAAAGAAGCCCAGGAAGTCATTGAAAGAGTGGAAAGAGGTCATCACCCTTCCTCAGTGATGGTTTGGTGGGGAGCTTGCTTTGATGGCACCACAAAGCTCCATTTTTGTGAAAAAGGAGTCAAAACAGCCACTAAAAACTATCAGAACGATATTTTGGAACCGGTTGTCAAGCCTCTTTATGATTCTCTGTTTGCTGGAAGTCATTGGGTTTTCCAGCAGGATTCTACTCTAGCTCACAAGGCCAGGTCAACTCAGCAGTGGCTGCAAAAGAACATTCCAGAGTTCATCTCTGCCTCGGATTGGCCCTCAGGAAGCCCTGATCTCAACCCACTAGATTATCGGCATTGGTCCGAACTGGAGAGGATGGCATGCCACAGATCACACCCGAACATGGAAAGCCTCAAACAATCTCTGGTCCGAGCAGTTGAGCACTTTCCTCAAGAAGTGTTGCATGCTACTATTGATGACTGGCCACAAAGATTAAATGCCTGTTTCAAGGCAAAAGGGGGACATTTTGAGTAATTTCTTTTTCATTTTACTCTCTATAGATATACATTTTATTTTCTAATAAATTTTTTGAAAAAAATTAATTTTTCTGTTGAAATCTGAATATATTTCCTTGTAACAATATTTATGACAGGACCAAGTAGTTTAGCTAATTTAGATAATGTTTTTTTACCAGCGATATGGTTGTAAGTTTCTGAAGTCTGCCCCTGTTGAATGCCACTACCTCTGCAGAACACCCCCACTTATTCCGATGAGACTCCATTAGTAAATAATGAAAGTTAGTCATTAAGTTATTTAAGTATAAGTAGGACAAAGAAGGGATGTGTCATAAAATAAAAAATAATCAGAAAATAATTACTGTGTCATATTATAATCTACCTTGTAACAAGCATCAGTTTTCCAGGAATGTGTCTGAATATTTCAAGACAACGACTCCTCAATTCCATGATTTCAAGATGTATCTTTGCTCGTTCTTCAGGACTAAACTGTTTTCTTCGTGATCCATGTTTTCGTGGGGCAAAAAACAACCTGACAATATCAGAGTCCTGTTGATCTCTAGAAGGACTTGGAATGTAACGTTGGCCTAGTGCAATGCAGAACAGCCGATAATCTACTTCTGCAATGAAAAATAATCCAAAGAAATAAATATACTGTGATAATTCCATAACCAAAACAATAAAAATTTTCAGAAATGAAAAGCAATAATTGATTATGGAATAAAGGCAAAGTTTTTTTATAAATACAAAATAAAATCATTAATACTACATCCCTTCTTTGCCAGTTTCATGTATTTTGAAAAAATAACCAAAACTAATTTCTATAAATGATGACATGATATCAAGCAATTATTTATTTTATTACTAACCCATTCAGTGCACAGCAAGTCCAATAGGAAAAAACAACTGTTGTATCAATGGCACAGAATGTGTAAATGATATGCGTTATGTTTTAGTAGCTTATGTCATAATATTTAAATAATTTTATGTTATTAGAAAATTGGAACTTAATTTTTCATTGCTAATCTTTAATATATCATAATGTGAAATAACACTATTACTAAATTATTACCTGAATAAAATAGACTTTGGAGTAGGAAAGAACATGTAAAGATTGAGATTTCACTTTTTTTAAATACAAAAATTCATATTTAGCTAAACAATTGGAAAACAGTACAACTCGGAGATGTGGTGTGAGCAAGAGGCTATTGTCACTATAGCATCATGACTCGAGTCCACTGTTGCATAATATATACAGGCGCCCAACACAATCTCCTTAAACCTCTCTCTGCCATAATTTATAAAAGCTAATAAAATAAATTTTAAGTTAAATATTTTTATTCAGAAAGTACAGGGTAAGGCTAAAGGCAGGGGAAAGATATGTCTTAGATGGAAGTTTTGAAGATGGAAACACTGTTTTAAGTTAAAAAGTATAAGCTATTCAATGGTATGAGGGAGGTGCTGCCAAGTCATGATGTGGTTCCATCCTCCCAACTTTTCTTAAGCGCTAATTATCTTTGAAAATAATTGCATCATAAAAATTTAAGACCTTTTGTGTTCTTACTGTTATAACTTAATCTTCATTGACAAACAATAAATTGAAAATTTGGGTAAGTACACAATTGGGAAATCTTTTCTTGTGTTTTTGAATTATTGAGCTAAACTTCCAATGTGTAATAATTTATAATGATGTAGAGATGGTTGACGTATAATAATTTACTTGCTGTCCTAGACTACTTGAAATGCTCCTAAAATGTTTTTCAGCTACTATTTTACTGTCAAATTGAAAGAATTTGTCGATTATGAAATCTCTTTCAGGTGCTTTACTATTTTGTTTTTTCTATAATAGATGCAACATACTATTTTTCCTCTATTGATTCTCAGCTTTTCTTTAGTGGAGGCTGAGAATATATTTGAGTAAATTCGTCAGATGAAAGAACTAATATTACAAGTACAAAATATAATATAAGTACAGTCATTATAAGCTCATACTAGGAACAAATATTTTGAAGAAAACGTAAATTTTTAAAATGTTTAAGGTAAAAAGGGCTCTGTTTATTTTATTTAGTATTTATTGTTTTAAATAAGCTTTAAAGTATGAAATGAGAGGATTTAGAACAAAATTGATGTTTTTTAATGATCTGTTACATATTTAATAAAATTATATTGTTATTGATAGTTTCATAAATCCTGCAGTCACAAAAAGAATATGAATAATATATTATTATTCTTAAAAATAAATTGATTCAACCAACCTCCATTACAAAATGTTTAAACAAATTTAAGAACCATAATAATAGAAAAATGACTCTTTGTCTTTGTTTTCAAATTTCATCTCTTACTTTCATTTAAGGATTTGCAAAATTATCTTCTTGGTATAATTATATTTATGAAATATTTTTATATTTCACTTCTTCTTTCACACAAGTACAATGAAATAGTAGTGGATACTGTTGGAATATCACAAAGGGAAGATTCATCAAATTATTCACTAATTTAATTTTCTAAAAAGTTAGATGATAAAACAAGTTAGATTTTGGAATAAACGGACGTTGATACCTAATTATTTAAATATAGTATCGGATCTAGAATTATTAAACTACAGAAAATGTATTGAAGATTATAAACATATGCTTTATACATGCATGAAATGATTTTATATTTTACCTCTTCTTTCACACAAGTACAATGAAATATTTTTTTTAACAATGTCATTTTCTTGATAAGGTGCAGTTTAAATACTTTTTTCAATCTTAAAAATATTTTAAAAGTTTTTATTTAGTAAGTAAATTTCATTTAATTTACTTGAAAACATGTGATGTACGTTAAATAATATAAGTTTTCAAAAATTATTATTTATAATTTTTTTGCCACTCTCCCTTACCTTCTACAACTTTCTATATTATAAATTGTTTCTTAAAATTCTCTGCCCAAGACATAAGGGGTGAGAGGTTAAGTTGTAAATGTTTAAAATTAATGTGATTTGATACTATTTTTATTCTATTAAGTTTTCAAATAAAATTATAACCTTTGTGTGTATGCTTATAATGACTATCAATATTTAATTTATTCCCATTAAATGCAGACGTATAATGGATAAAAATTTAGCCGAGAAAATTCAACTAAAACAGCAAATATGTTGTTTCTTAAATACCCAAAAGAAATAGTAAGAAGCCTATACTGATCCTGCCTGGCAGATATTTTTTTAATCATTATAAAAAAATTTAAAAACCATTTTCAAAAATATATATACATCGTGAGCATGCAATTACATGCAGTAAAGTTTATAAAATAAAAAAACAGTCAATCAATCAGCATAAGTTGCCAATGCATTGTGTAAAACTTCTAGTTAGTGTCATTAGAAAGTTACTATCAAATCTTAATGCATTTTTCACATTTTTTGGCTAATGTTACATCTTTTTCAACTAAGTACTACTAGGATGCTAGTGAAGGGACTCTTTCTGGGTAACGTAGGAAAATTGTCCTCCTGTGCTCCATAAGTATCCTGAAACCATGCTATTATTCTTTAGATCTAGATCAATATAAGCAGGCCCAATGTACTAACAGAAATTGGTGCAGAGGAAAGAAAGGGTATTATTCATACTAGAGCCATAAAAGCCCAATTCGGAATTAATTGCAAACTGAATAGAAAGCATTCTTTTAATGCAACTACTAATAGGTTTCAATAAACAAAATTGTTAATAGAAAATTAAAAAAAAAAAAAGAGTATGTATTTTGAAGAGAAGAATAATTGGGGTGATCATTCCACACTTTGTATCTGTTATTATTATTTGTCTCTTGTTCTTACTATTGTCATTATTCTAACAACTTCATTTTACTGTAATTTTTATGTTTCTCATATCTTGTTATCTGGTTCTTTTCTTAGCCCTGATGATGGCCTGAACTTCAGGTCGAAACGTCGGCATATGTAAAAATAAATATTATCATTTATTTTTGCCTTCTTTTTTGACTGACCACCCCAACTATTCTTCTCTTCATTATCCACGACAGTCAACCATTTATCAATTATTAAGTATGTATTTTGTTTGGAAAAAACAAAACAAATAACTGTGGTAACCAAAAACATCCATATAAGAATATTAAGTTAAATAATAAATTAGTTTGATTAATATTTCCTCTCACTGTATCATTTAGGGATTGTAAAGGGAAGGTAAAAGATCTATGTTTATTCTTTCATCTTCCAAACTATGATAACTTTGCCAAAAAAAAGAGACAAATGACACATGAAAAAAAAGGCACTCTTATAGTGTACTGGCAAGCATACTATAACGATATGGTGAAGGTTTACAGTTCAAATCTGGTTCCATTATATTCTTTTTAAGCACTCTCGTAGTGCAGTGGCTAGGGTACTACACCGATATGGTGAAGATTCACAGTTCAAATCCGGTTCCACTATATTCTTATGGGAGCAGAGTAGCTCAGTGTGTGAGCACTGACTTCTGGAGCTCAAGGTTCAAGGTTCAAGGCAGCCTCTATAAAGTGTAAAGTGGGTACTCTCAATTAAATAATTAATTAAGGGAGAAAACCTAGAGGTTGAGCGTGATATTGACCTGTTACCTCCCTGCACAACCTTTGGCCATGTAACAATTCTTTCTCTTATTGTACTGAACGCAAGACCATTCATGGGATGTTAGTCGTGCAGGTTTTTTTTGTGGTGGAATGGTCGAAAGAGCTAACACGTGTACACAGAGCTGCCGTTGCCGGCAACCTGATATATAAGACAAATTGATAAAAAATAGTCATGATTTCGCGCCTGGTGCCGGGGGAGTCTTTTATATCCCCGCCCTCACCTCCTGGCCTAGGAAAACCCCGTATAGCCTTTAAGGCGAGGAAGGGAAGGACTCCCCAAAAAAGCATGAAAAAAAAATTCTCTAAGTAAAAACAAATTTGGATTCAATAATAATAGATAAATATGCAATATTAAGCATTAAGCATACTATTGGTACTAAGCACAACTTAAAATTATAAAATTACTTACTCACTATAACTCCACAACTCAAAAAGTGCCTGTTGTAAATAATAGTACACTCATTAAGAGAATGCCTGTGAATAATGTAAATGAAGAACGAAGGAACAATGGGAGTAGAGAGGAAACAGACAGTTGTGTGAAAGGGTTAAGATTCTATTATCAAATGAACAATAGTATGATGAAGAAACATTACTACTTCTCAAAACCAATAAGTGAAAATAACATATCACATACTTTTTAGATTTAACAGTGCGATAGGAAAATGCTGGTTAAAGCTAGGTGATATAAGCATAAGTTATTATTTTAATTTTCATTACAAGTATTGCTCATGTTACACAGTGAAGTTATTTCGTGTGAAATAAAAATATTAAAGACGTTGTATATCCTATACAAAATACATGCAGTTTATCCTATATAACTGCAAGAAACCCTTCAACTTGTTTAAACTAATTCATACCGTAAAGGATATTTTGCACTTGGTATAAAAGTATTATTCGGGAGGGATACTATAGAGAGTGCCTTTTAATCCAACTGCAGTGAAATGTATAATTTTTATTGAAATTACAGTGTAAATATTTATATCAAATGACTTACCAGCTACGCCTAACTGCATTGAATATTTTTTCATTTTTTCATGATCATTAAGAACCATGTATTTCCATAAAAGCCTAAGAGATTCTCTTACATTATCGGGTACCTCTTCATATAGACCATGATCTAGAATCACTAATTCAGCTCCCTTTACTTTTTTTGAAGGTCTAACTAAAACTTAAAATATATGATATATAAGAAGATACCAAGAAAAACTATGTAAGTAAATTTCAACAAAAAAACTAATGTACAAGTGCCACTATATTTATATTATTAAATAATATAAATAGCCATACTATTTCCAGCATGTGGATCAGCATGAACAAATCCTGAATGAAATATTTGTTGAGCAAAGGCCTTGAAAAGCTTAGTATCGATGTCAGCTAATGAAAATCTTCCTTTCTTCAGGGCTTCCTTGTCACTAATTTTTATTCCTTCAACGAATTCAGCAGTTAGTACTCTCTGTCAACAATTATATATATTTAATTAAAAATAGTGAAGTTGAAGGTATAAGGTATATATCTAGGGTCTCTGGCCATAACAAGTTAAGCCAAAAAATGTTCCTCACGAGTTCTGTAAACTGAGATCATCTTCTAAGCTTTCTAAACATCGTGAAGAAGTTAATAAATTCACAGTTCTCTTATAGACCTCTAAAAATTTTAGTACTGTTAGTTACAAACTTCTTCACAGTGTTTAGAACACTTGAAAGATGATTTCAATATATAGAACTCGTGAGGACCATTTTTTGACCTAACTTGTTGAGGCAGGCCAGAGACTATATATATGCCTGAAAATTATAATGACATAGCACATTTTTTTATTAGATCATACATATATTGTAATGTAAATATTACATAGTGATTTTAAATAGTGGTGCGAAGGCAGTGACGTCACGAACTACTGTCAAAAACGGACAAAGACAGATAGAAGGAGAAGCAAGTGCCATATGTTAGGACCAGAAGGTAGCCAGCCGGCTAGGAGAGAGGATTGAGACCACAAATAGTGATAGTCTGTGGGCCAGACCCCCTTACCGTGCACCCCCCCCCCACATCCCTATAAATTGCATATCGTTGTGTTCCTTGTAACAAATTATTAAAAAAAAGCCAATGTTCCCACAAAAAAAAGTGAACGCACTGCCCCAAAATGGCGTCCAAAGATGGCGGATTGACGACTTTGACTTTAGTTAGTTGTTTGGTCACTGAGAATCAGCATTTGGCTTAATTTCCTCATAGTTGGTCTTTTCTAAAAGCTGAATAGTCATAGAATAATAAAACATGAAGAAATATTAAAAAATAATTGGCTTAGGCTACGAAAAACACCAGTAAAGTCAATTTTTTTTTCAAAAAAATTTTCAAGTTACTAATCAAGCGTCGTTTGTAATTAAACGGCCTACAATAACGCAAAACGTGCTGAAATAAAACATCTGGAGAATATATTTCTCTTTCTAAAACGCTGATTATTTTTTAAAAAATTTTAAACAGTTCCGTAGAAAATGTACTTATGCGGCAGAAAAGCGGTACTGGCGTGGGTGCCTACAGGTCTCTACCACACCATTCAGTACACATAAATGGCTTAGTTATAGTGATATAATAACATTTTTGGTGCATTATATTGGTTTTATTAACGAACAAATATTAATGCAATAATTCAATCGTAAAAAAAAAATGGTTTTCACCATAATAAACATACATCGTTCATTTAATGTCATCCAAACTGCAATTGACCCCCTTTTAGCAGCATCTTGAAATATTCTGTTCATCTGTCTACTAAACATTCATTTAGCTATATAATGGATACTGGTCCTTTTTATCTTTTGGCACTTCCTTTCTCGTTCGCTTAATGTATTTTTCCAATTTTCTGGTTCAATTTCGCGTTTTTCCTCATTTTGATACCAAAAACAAACAATCAGTTCTGGTTTATTGGTTTTAGAACTTATAGTGTCACCATTTCTATCTTTCTTTGTGCAGAGAGAATAATTTATTCAATATTAAAATTTCGTATTTATTTATGATATAGTCCAACTTCTGCACAAAATAAAGGAAATAAAAATTAATTTTTTAATTTGTGATATATGAGTTTTACTAAACAACCCGGTAGCTATTCATTATATATAGTTCAGATTAGGCATATATAATTTTAGTTCATAAAACAGGTATTAATATGAATCATTTCCTGGGAAGTATAATTTCAATTACCTCTAAGAATCAGTAAATATACAAAACAGTGTTAAATTGCAAACGTTAAATAAAAAAAAATCAAGATATTTAGCAATGTATTTTTTAAATTAAGTTTTATTATTATCATTATATCATTTTTACAATTGAGGTCTTCTTAAACGACCTACGTATAGAATAAAGTAGTTTAAATTAAAAAAAAAATTATAATAATTTAAAAAAAAAAAATTTTTTTTTTACGATTAAATTATTGCATTAATATTTGTTCGTTAATAAAACCAATATAATGCACCAAAAATGTTATTATATCACTATAACTAAGCCATTTATGTGTACTGAATGGTGTGGTAGAGGCCTGTAGGTACCCACGCCAGTACCGCTTTTCTGCCGCATAAGTACATTTTCTACGGAACTGTTTAAAATTTTTTAAAAAATAATCAGCGTTTTAGAAAGAGAAATATATTCTCCAGATGTTTTATTTCAGCACGTTTTGCGTTATTGTAGGCCGTTTAATTACAAACGACGCTTGATTAGTAACTTGAAAATTTTTTTGAAAAAAAATTTGACTTTACTGGTGTTTTTCGTAGCCTAAGCCAATTATTTTTTAATATTTCTTCATGTTTTATTATTCTATGACTATTCAGCTTTAAGAAAAGACCAACTATGAGGAAATTAAGTTAAATGCTGATTCTCAGTGACCAAAAAACTAACTAAAGTCAAAGTCGTCAATCCGCCATCTTTGGACGCCATTTTGGGGCAGTGCGTTCACTTTTTTTTGTGGGAACATTGGCTTTTTTTTAATAATTTGTTACAAGGAACACAACGATATGCAATTAATAGGGATGTGGGGGGGGGGTGCACGGTAAGGGGGTCTGGCCCACCGTGTATGAGTGACATGTGACACACAAGTAGTGAGTGTCAACAAAGGAAGAATAGAAGCATGAAAGAAGATTGTAGAAGTTCAAGATAACAATATAGAGGAATATTCACTGCAGAACAGGATGAATGAAAAATAAATAGTGACAGAGAGCATGCCAAGAGTAGACTCTGACAAAACAATAAAAATTCATGTATGCCTTTATATTATATATTTGAGGAATGTGTGTTAGTTGTCAGGCAGAAAAAAGATCCATTACTAATTCAATCATGGACCTCAATATCAAATAAATCTGAATTGTTAAAATTAATAAAAGAAATGACAGAATAACCATTGCTGCTAGGATAAGAATCAAATAAATAAATAAGTAATTAAAATCATTGCACTAATATAAATCTTTACAATATTAGGAATGAAATAAAGAACATATTGGATTGCTTCAATAAAACTGTTAAAATACATTTTAAGTTTGAAATTCAAAAGGTGAATAGAAAATCATACCTTACTTGTTAGATCCCAGAACACCTTAGGAACATGAATAAAAGGAAAACAGGAAAGGTCTTTACTGCACCTTTCAGAATTTTTGGCTTCATTTTCAAAATTTAATTCCTTTTCCAAAGTACCTCTTAATTCCTGTAAATATAATCAAAATAATTCCATACCATCCAACAATAACAGCAATAAAAAATTTTCATATAATTTATTGTGCATTGAAATAACTCTTTCTCAAAAAGTAATTGCAAGTTGTTGTTTTTTCTTGTATACATTACTTATTTTGGTTCCTAACTTAATTTAAAAACACTAAATTTTAGCTATAAGATAATCTATACTAGTATAATAAATAAGCAACATTACTACACATATTTATTAAACTTGTATAAACAGTAGCATTAAATCTTTCAAAACTAAATTAAGCCTAGATTTACAATAAAATTGTTTGCCTCCTCTAAAAGTTGACACATGGAAGATGTTTGATCAACTATGTGTTTTTCTTGGTCTGAATAAGGATTATGTTAACTAAAAGTTTTTTTTTTCTGGCCTTAATATCCAATTTAAAATAGTAACTAATGCTAATACCTGATACATGACATCATTAAGATAATTAAACAGTTAGTCTACTTAACTCGGCCCTACAAATTCAGAAGAATCTTTGGATTTATGTTCAAGAAGTAGATGAAGCGTTGAATGCAAAAGTATAAAGTTATATCAAAGGGAAAAGATTAACTTTAAGTGTTATAATAGATATACTACTATTATTTTTTTACATAGACTAATAATTGATCCTGGATAATATATATTTTTTTTTAATAAAAAGAAAGGAAAGGGAAGCATGCTTACAAAAATGTTCAATAAATCTCACATTGAGCACCCATGCGAAATCAAAGTCTTTATGAATCCATCCAGCAATTGTAAGAAGAAATCTCAAAGTTGCAATATCTCCAACAAATCTGTCTTGAAGATCAATGTATTGCACTTTAACAGCAACATCTTTCCCGTCTTTTGTGGTAGCTCGGTAAACCTACAATTCAAATATTGTTAGTAGGAAATGCACTTACAAAAAACGATAAATCAAGTTCTTTCATGAGTTTCACAAACAAGAATAAATTAATGAAATTCATTGAAGAGCACAATCATTTTAATTTATGAATTAAATTAAGTACAGAATCTAGCATCACTTTTATTATACCTAGTCATAGATAAATTTGGTTTTACATTTAAATTTAACATCCTAAACTATTTCATATAGAGAAGGAAGGACCAAAAGAATATCAATCAATTCTAGTAAGAGTGACAAGATTTCTTTTGTGGGTATAATTATTGAAAATGTATATTTATTGTCATATGTATTGTAATCAGCAACTGCTATAGATATTTTTAATTAATCATTACTGAATTTTTAATGTACATTATTCATATTAGAAAGACTAGACTTAAGTTATCTGAGCTAAAACCAGGCCATGTCCTCCTACTACCTAACAATATTTAGCCTTATCCCACAATCTGATGATTTTCAGGCCCTATATTTTTAAATACACATATGTTATATATTTCAGCAAAACAAATTTGGACGATAGATTTGCTTTTAAAATTCCAAAACTTAGTCCGTTGGTTATTTTTTATGAGGCTTGTTCTTTTAAATGAAATAAACTTGTTAACTAAGCAAAACTGAGGATATAGCCGTCATGTATTACGTGGTTTAATAACAATCAAGTTGTTAGATTTGTAGATTTTTTAATATAAAGTCATGAACCACTTTGTGCAGACTAATTTTAGCAAACTTGTAAACTGTTTCACATTTAATGAGTTGATAATTTCTTAAAAATGAGAATTCCTAAACCCTTTGAGAAATAAGGAGAGCTAAAGCTGATAGGTATGTACTCATTATGTAAATATTATTCTCTAATTGTCAAAAACAATGTTTAATAAGTTGTTTATAAGCATTTGTAAGTATTGAAAATATAATTGGGTTTTGAATAGAAACAGAATGATTTAAGGAAATAAAAAACTAAAAATACAATAATAAAGGAAAGATTCCAATAGATCTTTTAGTTAAGATGCACCAAACTATGTCATGTTATTCTTAATACTGTAGTAGGTGGTACGTACATCTTTGTTAAATTGAGCTGTACTCAAACTTCTACTTAAACTTAAATTTCTAGTTCACCATTCGTCATATATTCATAATTTTTCTACAAATCTGTTATTAATAAAGTTTCTCCTCATTTTTAAGAGATGAAAAATAATTTTGTTTAAGGTAATTAAGATATGCTGTTTTATACTGTACATAAAGTTTAATAGAAACTACAAGTAAATCAAATTGACCTTAGTCATTCAAATTTAAAACTAAAAAAAAAAATAACAATAAAATTTTTATATCTGGTGAAATAAATGGATTATACAAAACAAAAAATAAGATAAACCACTTATTAATGACCATGGATAGACCTATTTTAAAAACAATATCTGTGGCAATACATGATAACTACAACATTTATCTAATTTTTTTAATATTATGAATTACTGATGGAACTTTGAGTGTTTATATATTTTTAAGAAAGTAATATTTGATTTAAAATTTTTAGGATTTTCTTAAAAAAACAAAAAACAAGACATGATTGAGATACGTTTTATTACATCAAAAATTTACTTATTTTTATTTAAAATAAAATTTCAATTATTTTGTAGGTCTAAAAGAAAGAAAGTTGTTGTTTTGTTTTTGTTTTTTTGGCAGAAAATAGAAAATACCTACTAACAATTAAGATAAATTCTGTTGGTGACAATAATAAATTTTTGTTGAAAAATCTTCAGAAATATAACTAAATAAGCAGAAAATAATAATAATTTAATAGAATTTCAACAGGAAAAATATTTATTAGGTCTTTTAGTCTCTGAAGATTTACACAGTGGCACAACACAATCTCCCATCTAGCCAAAAATAATACAAATCGACATGTGTATAGAATATTCACACTGGTGAAGTGTGTACTGAATAAAAAATAAACAATGGATTAAATATTGTGACATTATTCCATTCTCAGCTGTCAAATATGACATTCTAATAAGTAAGCATGATATCACGTCTTTGAAAATTAATATCTTTTGAACCAAAGATCATTGAACACTCAGGTTTTAAACAAAATATTCTGTAATACATATGAAACAATAATAATAAAAAAACAAGCATATTCCTCATTAAAGAATTAGTAGAATGACTTATGTTCATTTTTTTTAGTTAGGCTGATGTTTGTCTCAGCATTTTCAAGAAAGAGGCAAATAAGAAATTATTTGACTCTTCCTCAGTCAAAGTTTTTCTTTCAGCATAATGTACTTCATTTGAAAGAAATAATATAACTAAACAATAACTAATTCACTGAATGGAAATAAATCCCCTTCCCCCTTGAAAACATGGGTTGACAGAAAGAAAAATATTCTTCAAAAAATTGGATTTATTGTTATTTGTTAGGCCTTCATAAGAATTCGAGAGACAATACAGCTGGACTCTTTATTATTCGAAAAGACATGAAATGAGTCTTTATAAATGATCAGTCATTATAAGTGTAGTTGCTATATCATATAATAAATAAATAGCTGAAGTTTTAATGTTTGTCACTATAACTGACTAATCGTTATATCTGAAGTGTTACAAACATTATACTTTGTAAGTTTAAGTAATTCTCATAATGAAATTTTTAATGACAATTAAAATGACTTAATTTAGAATCCTAAAAATTAACTTACTTGAGCTAAACTAGCAGCAGCAATAGGCTCATCATTAAATGAAGAAAAACAATCATTTAAAGATTTGTTAAAATCTTCTTTAAATATTACATGAATCTCATCTTTTTCATGATTTAAACACTTATCTTGAAGTACCTGAGGAAAATTAAATATATTAATTAAATCATGATTTATTGCAGAAAGTTAGTCGACTGAACTAAATATCACAGGAAATAAATAATCAGGAAGCAGTCATTTTTTAGATTTTTTAATGTTGCCGATGTTTCAACCCAAACGTGTGGGTCATAACCAGGGCATATTTGCAGTACTGAACATATGCTCTGATTATGACCCACATGTTTGGGTTGAAACAATTACAATATGTCAGTTGGATTTAAAAACATTAAATTTTAGCTATAAGATAATCTTTACCAGTATAATAATTAAGCTAATTAAAATCATGTACAACCTGATTATTTTAATTAATAGAGCATGTAATACAAATGGAAAATATATATAACACATTAATTATTTTAACTATTAGCCTATAAAGGACTAATAACATTAGCTACAGTTTATCAATAAATATTTTAAAAGGATAAGAAATGTATTACTAACTCTTAAATTTTCAATATATTCCGGTGGCAGGATATGATCCATTACAACAAGACCTTGTCCAAGTTTAATGTACAGACCTCCATTTTTAAGACAACCATCAAGAATGCGCTGTGCTGCTCTTTTGTGTACTTTAGAGAGAATTTCTTCGTAGGCTGGATCGTCGTCAGGAACACCCCATGGACTCCAGAGATAATCTAGGGTTATTACAGCACCAATTTTCGAAGACCTAAAGAGATATATAACTGATAATTTAATTATCTCAAACACTATTGCAGATATAACCTAAACAAATCAATTGTACCTGATAAATCTAGCAATACCACCAATTGTTACTCTAATAAATCTCCTTTCACTTTCAGGCCTTGAATAATAATAAACCAAACCAGTTCCAAATGAGCCAGCAACTATGGTGGAATAGATTATCCATCGTCTATTGCTTTTTGGTTTTTCATACTTAGTGCTCGCATTTGGACGAAGATGGAAAGATTTTATTTGGTTGATTGGTAAACGATTTTTACAGTAATGCGTAAAAGCATTTCTTATTGAAAAAACAGTCATATCATCTAAAAAAAAAAGGAAAATAAGTTTCTAAAAAGATACAAAATTTTTATAAAATCTAAAAATAAAAGCTCAACATCTTAAAAAATCAGACCAATCAAATCAGCAACAACTGGATAGGTGGCTTGAATATAATTCTTAAATTACTATCTAATAGTAATTACTCCCAAATGTAACACATTATAAGAACATAGGTATAAGCAATGCCATGTCAATACCTTGAGACACTGGATTTCAGTATTATTATTTATTATATTGACATTATCATCTAAAAATAAATAATAAGTAATCATTGTTTCTAGAGTGAATCTTGTGGGAAAATATTTTTAATGAATTGGGCAAAGGCGTCCTATGGGTGCATTCTACCTCACTTATGTTACTGTATAAAAAAAGTCACTGATTAATCATGACTATTGCATATTGGTCTTCAATAACCTATGGCTCTTCATGTTAAAAAGATGAATTCTTTAAATTAAATAATACACAATAATCATTAAACAAAATCTGACTTAAAAAAAGCAACAGCCAGTGCAATGGATAAACATGAGTGAGTTGTTTCCAGCATATTAATGTTGGCTGAAATCTAACACAAATATAAATGCAAGAAAAAAGTTAAATATTTTAAAATTAACATACATCATAGTTATGAGCAACTTAATCACAAGTAGTTTTCATTTAAATGTCTAGTACAGAGAAATTAAATAGCAGTTTAACAAGTGATAGTCTATGGCAGCGAAGAGTTTATTTTATGAAATTATGAACATTTAAAATTGTTCAATCAATAGATTAAAATAGAAATGCACAGTCAGTAAAACAATCTACAGTAAAGCAACAAAATTCAATGATAAAATGCACAGTACAGTAACAAAATTCAATGAGTTACAACAAAAAATATAAAACCTCAAAAATCTTGACATCAGATTCCCCTTGTTCTAAAAATGCAAGAATTGAATAAAATTAGTTACCAACTTAATGTGTAAAGTAACTATTAAAACCAAATACTAAAATTAGGAAGTATAACTGAGGAAATAGCATTTGCGGAAAAGGTTCTAAAATATTGATGAGAGCTTTGTGGATTCAAAATATATGTTGGTGAATTAATATTTTATAGCGGTTCTAAAAAATGAAGTTTGAATTCATAAACCTCTAGGTCATGAATAATATACCCATATAGGCACCAGTGCTTGTCATATATATCTGGTAGTCCAGGGATCATTATTTCTGCTATTGCACTCTCTGATGTAATTTACATGATCATTGCCAAGATATAAATCTTTTAGAAAATTGTAGTTACAAAATCATAATAATAGTGCAATAGTTAATTAATACCTAACAAATTGCATAAAATGTAAAAAAAAAACAACTGAAAATAATGAAACCAAATTCAGAGGGAAATAGCCCAATTGCTAAACAATCTAAAACATACCAGCAGTTTTAATCAGAAGGGTAGAGTAATCCACACTGCTGGGTAAGTGAAAATAGAAAGCTTATCAGAATAGGCCAACCACAGAAAGCATGCTACTTAAAATTCTGATCAGAATAATGTTGGGACTCAGAGGTCAATACTAACAAAATCAAAAGGGGGCTCTTCACAGAATATTTTCAAAAAAACTACAGGGTTCACAATGATTACCAAAATATTTTTTAATATATGCTTTATTCATGTGTTATGTATTTATTGTATATGTTTTTCAGTAAGGAATTCAACTAGGTAATCCAAAATGAATTGGTTTTATTTTCGGATTAGAATATGGTTTAGATAATGAAGTAGTAAAACTTCTGAAATACACTTTGAGGTTAGTGCATAAAGCACACCATAGGATTTTCAAGTGCAATTTAAGTTTTTGTTTTGTGATGATTATTCAAAATGTAACTATAACTTGCCTGTAAAACATAACCTCCTCAACATTCAACAACATTGACACGGCTGAGGCGGTATTTCATCAACAGTTCTCCCTGATTGGTCAGGAGACAGCCAATCCTGACCGACTTCTGATAAATAACTTGAAAAAAACAACAATAATCAGCTGGTTTGCCATCTTTAGCTTAGTGTATTTGAATTTTTGTCATTAGAAGATAACAGGAAGGGAATAACTGGTTGTAAGTAGATTTTATTACAATAATAAATATGGAATGACTAATGTTTTCTGCTTAATTGTTGTTATTCTCGAATTCAAGATATTCATCATTAAAATGTTTGTGCATAAACATATATTTAAGTTTTTTAAATCCATTCATTGCTTCTAAGTTACCTCTGTTTAACTTCAAAAATATTTCCTTTATTTGGATTAACTATCTGCCCCACGTTTATTGAATGTACCTTGTAACATTAAAAACGTGTCCATCTTTTTTGTTTACTGTAGTTTCGTTTTTAAAGTCGACTGATGTTTCTTTTCAATGTCTAAAAAACAATTTCACATTTATATTTCAATTTGGGGGTGTTACAATTGACGTTTTTATGCTGATCATTTTGCTATTATACATATTTTTCGTTAAAACCTTTTATACTTTTCCTTGTTTTCAATCAACAATATTGATACCTTTTTTATTTTTAAACCTAAACTATTTTATTTTTTAAACTTGTCTACCTATAGGTAAGCGTGTCTTAAATTTAAATTAGTGTATACCAGAGATAATGTATCAGCTGATTAACCTACTGATTGTACTATCAGTATCGAAAATGTTTAGCATCTCAGCTGAGTCGCGTTAGCATTCAGCTGTTGTTCAATAGTGAACATCAGCTGATAAATGTCAATGAACTGAGTGTTTGGACAAGTTCCTAAACTTATCGATAGAGCCCATCGATGGAACTCAGCGCGTAACTTTAACCATTGATTGAATCAGCGTTGACTTAGTGGTTCCGTCGGTATTTGGGTTTGATAGGGTTTGATAGATCCAAGGTCTATAAAACTACCAGATTCGCTCACTCATAGGGAAAATGGTGGAGAGGAATCGAGCTCTGACGTAACCACTAGACCGATAATACCCCTCCAGCTCTTGTTTTTGGACGTTTTAAGATTATTATTTACTTTTCTACATGAAATCAATACTTTAAGGTATAATAGACTATTAATTTATTAATATTAATAAATTTAAAAAGTGAGAGAAAGGTTCATTTGCTATTTTGTTTGTTTTGAAGCCAATAAAATATAATTTTAGAAGTTGATGTGTTTTTTTTTTCAGAAGTGCAAAATATCACAATTTTTTTTTTAGTATTTAAAATAAATGTAAAACATAATGTGAAATGATAGAACTATTTTAAAAAAAAGTATTTAATCAAAAATTAAAGAAGCGCGTTTTCTTTCTAGGAATCTTTGTAAATTTGACATTTTTATGTCATAAATAATCCTAATATTAACCTCTTCCCCAAAAAATTAAAAATAAAAGTTAAATAAAGTATCACCCATCTACCAGAACATATTGTCATTGTATCTTTAAAAAAATTCGTAGGGGTGGGGGTAAACCTCTCTCCCCCACAAAAAAATAAAATTAAAGTATATTAAACTATTACCCATCACCCAAACGTATTACCATTTTATCTTTTTAAAAATATCGGTGAGGAGAGGGGATGACCCCCCTTCAAAAAGAAAAATGTTAAAACAAGTATCACCCACATTACCCAAACATTGCTATTTTATCTATTAAACAAATTCGGAGGGGGTTAACCTCCCCCCTAAAAAAAAATAAATAAATAAAAGTAAAATAAAGTATCGCACACCTAACCAAACATATTGCCATTTACCCCTTTCTTACAAAAAATGGGGGGTGGTGGTGAAGGTTAACCCCCCTTCGAAAAAATTTATATTAAAACAAAGTATCATTCCCCTACTCAAACATATTGCCAAGGGGGGCACCAGAAATTTGATATCGCCCAGTGATTTTCAAGATCTGTATATATGTTTTAATATTGCTCAATATAGGCCTTATATGTGCAATTATATTAATACTGGGTACTTGTGAACAGTCTGGTCTCTATGGACTGCTATCTGCCAATGTTTATAACCTGAACACTGATTGTAATAAGGGATTATAACACTGATAATCCCTATCTTCATATGAAATTAAAAAACAAATGTAATAATAACAAAACAAATTTATTTTACAACATGTATACGTATACATATATTAATAACAAATATAAATGTAATAATAATATTGTAATACAATAATAAGAAATATAAATAAAAATACATTTGTACATCTGTTCGATAGTTTCAGCTGCTGTTTGCCCCACTGTATTGTCAAATTATGAGATCACCCATAAATTAATTTTAAAGCGGTTGAAAAGGTAATCTTCGACCCCTCTAACCACGTCCCTTTCCTTATAGATGCTGACCAATTATTCGCTGTACGATTTTTCTTTCAAAAATTAAAAGACTATTTTCATTATTTCTTGAGATGATCCAGATTTGGAAAGCATAGGTAAGAGCAAGGCGTATTAGAGTCTTGTGTATGACCAGTTTAGTGCCCCTGGTAATGGATCCGCTGCTGAAAGTTTTTAGTAAGGACAAATATGTCCTATTTGCCGCCAGGAGCCTTTTCCTTTTCTCAGCAGAGACATCGTTTATTGGTGTCACTAGGGATCCCAAAATACGTAAACTTCGTTAACCCTTCGGAATGTGAAAGGGCCCACAATCAGTGCCTCGTCGCGACCAGTCTCTGTGTGCGTATATTTTGTTTTCTTCTCGTTCATGGCCAACTCCATGGCTGAAGCAGCGTCCATGTGCGTCCCAAAAGCTTCTACCAATGCCAATCGGGTCCTGGTCCCGATATCCAGGTCTTCAGCGTATCCCATTATATGGGTGAATATCATGGGGCCTGTCTGAATTCCTGAATCCTGTACAGCTTTCTCCAGTGCAAGATTGAAGAGGAGACATGCCAGTCCATCCCCCTGTCTTAATCCTTTGTTGGAGGAAAATGCATCAGAGCAGTCAGACCTGGATCCGTTCCTGACCCCTTACATCTTTCATTGCCAATTTCACGAGACGTATTAGTTTCCTTGGGATGCCAATGTCTCTCAACACCTCATATAGCTTAGGTCGTTTGATGCTATCATATGCACTTTTAAAGTCAAACAGGGGGCTTGTAAGGTTTTTATATTCATGACCCTGTTCCAAAATTGTCCTGAGGGTGAACACTTGATTAACAGTAGATCTACCTTTCCGGAAGCCAGCTTGATATTTCTCGATTTCCCGTTTCGCAAATGGGATAAGTCTCCTAATTAATATTTCTGAAAGGATCTTGTAGGCACAAGACTACGCCACGGTAATTCGTGCAATCAAGGTTTCCTTTCTCATGGAGACGACATATTATAGCATTAGACCACTGTCGTGACACTCTTTCTGGGTCCCAAAGACATTTGTACCGATTGATAATTTCATCGATGAACTTCATACTGAGTTAAGGAAGTTGCCTACTAATGCCTAATCTGGCAACAATGGTTGAGATTAAACACAGCCTGTTAGATTCAAGCTATAGGTTACCACTTCGAAAAGATAACTAAGCACGATGGGCTGGATATGAGAAGTAATGCAATAATTTAATAGATGGTATAAATGTTCTGCAGTTCTAATTTTGAGTATACCGCGTGTTTACGATCAAATGTTTAAACTGATGGTAACTCGAAAACTAATAGGATCAAAGTATAATTCTCTTTGGATTGGGTTATATTTTTTGAGCCTTTCGGAAAATAATTTAAGATAAAAACAACTTGTAAATTGGAGCCAAAATATGAGCTTCTTTTGGATCAAGATTATGCTCCAGGATCATTACATGTCACATCGACAAATTGGGTGGAACTTGAATTTTCAGGAATTGATGATTTTTTGTATGTATTATGTATACATTGTATCGTATAATTAGTTATGATAAAAAAACAAAACGGAATGTTCCCATTTTTATTTTCACATTCCTATATATGTTCCACTTTATATCATCGATTTTACACATTTCTCTTAAAACTCTCTAACGATTTTGTTTAAACTAGGTGTATCAATGTATAATTAAATGATCTTTAAGATCATTTAGATCTTATCCTCATCGATGTCACTTGACAGGGCTTAAATGCCCAATGTTGAAATTTGTTTCTTCTGCTAAGTACCTTTAATTTGATAAATAACTAACTATCCGTCGTTGTTAGAAATGATGAAAAAATACTAAATATAACGTTTGAATGATTTTTTTTTTAAAATTTATTTATTCAGAAATATTACAATCTTTCAAAATTAAGGACATTTATAATAGTGTTCAGAGAGCAACATGAATGAATTTGATAATTGAATAAAGCAGAAAAAAAAAGAAAATTAGCAACCTGAAGATTTTACAAAAAAACATATCTAATATAGGAAATTGTAGAAGGTGATGAAGACTGGCGAAAAAAAATTATAAATAATAATTTCTAACCATTATAATTATTTAAAGGAAACCACATATTTTCGTTAGGAAATTAAATGCAATTTCCTAACGAAATGTAAACTTTTAAAATTATCTTTAATTGTGAATAAAAGGCTATAAAATCCAGCGAATAAAGACAATGGCATTGTTTAAAAAACCGTTCCATTGTATTTGTGTGAAAGAAGAAGTGAAATATACAAATATTTCTGTAACGTTAAATACATTTGTTGTAGTTTAACTCTCCTTTGAGACAGATTTGAATATAAATAATAAAGAAGTTCTAAAAAAAAACTGTAGTTTAATAACTCCAGATCCGATATTATATTTAAACAATTAGGTATATATTGTCGATTTACACTGCCTCAAAAAAGTTTCCATACAGTCAGTTTTCTATAACGTTGCTAATAATCTGTGTGTTGGCGGTTTGCTTAAGATCGTTGTTCTGTTGAAAAATAAACTCCGGCATAAGTCATTAGCAATGTTCAAGACTAACTGTATGGAATATTTTTTGAGGTAGTGTATTCTGATAAAAATTACTTTTGTGAAATCACATACTTACAATCAGTATGACGACTTTTGACCTATTGATGCTGTATTTTAAATCAAATAAATGTATTTTGGTAAACTGAATGAAATTTACTAACTAAATGTAAACTATAATTATTTTAAGTTTGAATAAAAGGGTATAAAATCCAACGAATCAAGGC